CATATACATATACATATAGTAGTGATAGGATTTTTGTATCTTCCTTTAGGTCAGTGCTGGAATTTATTGCAGCGAAAGTTGCAAATAAATTTTAGATCCTTAGACTTAATAGAATAACTTCAGGATCTGTATCTTTTTTAACCTATTTCTTTGATACTCTCTTATAAAACGAGATATACATATGCGGGGTGACAGGGATCAAACCTGGGATCTGTTTGTTATGAACCGACTATTTTCGCATGGAGCTATACTTCACCCCACGATATGTGTATACAAATCTGTATGTGTATATACACTATTACACTATATATATTATAAATATTATGAAATTTAATGTACTTTTAAGTTACATAAATTGAATTTAATTTCGTAACATTAAATTTAATGTATCTGAAAAGTATATTTACATGTGAAATTTAATGTATTTTTCATAAAATTTTATGTGGATTTGCATGAAATGTAATGCACACGTTCATTACGTTTAAGATTTGTAACTTAGTTTTTACGTTTTTAGTAATTAAATCATTTATCACTTTTCAGTTATTTTATGATCACAAGTTTTCGTTACACGTTACTTAAATTCATTACGAAATTTCTAACAGTGTATGTGTGTGTATGTGTATATATATATATATATATATGCTAAAATAAAGTAATCCTGTGATTAAATCAAGAATTCATAATTAAAGCATTTAATTAGAGCACATTAAACTAAAAAAAGTTTTTATAATTGTCTGCTTCTATATTGATGTTTTAATGTTTGTTTTAGATGAATTTAGCAGAAATATTCCTAAACAGCCAATACGAGTAATATATGAAAATACAGACATACGTCCTAAGTTCCTGTAAGTATAATCATGTAGCACATGTTACACACACTCACACACACACACACACACACACACACACACACACACACACGAGGTTTGTTCGCGTCGCAAGCTCCAATATGCTCCTACCATAGCTCCTACTCACCTACCAAGCGCGTTGGAGTGAGTAAGAGGTATGGTAGGAGTATATTGGGACATATTGGAGCATGCGACGCGAACAAACCTACATACACACAACTCATTTATGTACATAAAACACACTTGTGATTGCAGAGACGCAACATTGGTTAAAGACACTAGCACGGTTATGGTACCTTTGAAAATCACTATTGCTGGTAAAGAGAAACTCTTCTATGGTTTCGGTGTTAACAAAAAACAAGCTAAGTGCGCAGCCGCAAAACAAGCATTAAAAAGACTGCAGCTCGAAAAATAATTAAGTTTTTTAAGATTGTTTTTACATAATATATGTATAAATAAATGTTTATAAATGTTAATATTTTTAGATTTAATGATATCAAAACTGATTATTTCTTCATATGTTCACAGGTCTTATAATACAATCAGGGAATGGAAATAACTTGTTACTTGTTGCGTCATTACCGTTACAAGTTATCTTTTTTTGGTAACAGACTAGTAACGGCTTTACTTTTTTTTTTGGTGACTGTAACGGTAACAAATTACTTAAAATAATGCAAATGAGTCCACTTAATTTTGTCGTTATTTTCTATATTTTAAACCTATTTGTGACATGTATATATACTGATTGTGTGCGGTTAATATTGATGAATTGACTTAAAATATTGATCTGGATTTTGATTCTCGAGTAAAATCATTATCGCTTTGCTAGGATCCATGTCATAGTGGCTATGATCCACTTGATACTACAAATGTTTCGAAGCATTGTTTGATTGGTTAATTAGTGAAATTCTTTCTTCTGATTGATCAGTCGAATGCTTCCGAAGCATTTGTAGCGCCAAGTGGACCGCACCCAGTATGTCACAATACAATAATGTACATAAAACTAAAGTGAAATATATTGTCAATAATACTAATCGTGTAAGATTGTAAAAATACTAAAAATATTGATCCATAATGCCAGTATTACTGATTCAATATTACTGATCACTAACAAATGAGTATTGGTCACGTTCAGATTCAACTTTTACGGAGCGGATCCGTGTTCGTTGCTATTGGTGTATTCTTCTAGATCATCCAATAGCAGTGAGCGCTCACAAATCCGCTCCGCAACAGTTGAGTCTGCTGAACGCAATCACTTGCGTTCTACTATTCATGTAGAGTCACTTTAATAATATCATGACTCGCGCATGACTACGCAGACTGACAAACGACTAGGTTTAGCACTTGCCGCTGCGCATTCGTCGTGTTGCATGGTTAATTAATGATTTTTCTCGATTATTCTTCACACGTGATTGATGAGTAAAGTTGAAAACCGTTTTAAAAAAGTCACTTTTTTTTCAAATTGCAGGAAGAAAATTAAAATTATTTTCTTTATGGAAGGAGCGAATATGGCAGATTTTACGAACACATGAATTTTTCCAATGAATTTTTTTTATCCTTAAGAAAGGAATTGAGAAAATCCGGAAAAATATAAAAAAAGGTTCTTTTTTGAAATTTTGAAACTATATAAAAAAGTAAGTAAGAAAAATAATGATAACGGTAACGAGTTACGTTTGAAAATCGGTAACTAGTCACAATTAACTAATTTTTTTTTTATTCGGTAACGAGTAACGGTAACTAGTCACTTGTAAAAAGTAACTTTCCATTTTCTGAATACAATGAAACTTTGATGTTTAACTATGCAAAAGTTCAACGTCAAATTGTGATTAATAAAGTCCGATTTTTCATTTTTTATTTAACTTTCGACTAAATTTAATCTGATGTTTTATCTCATCTATGATGATGTCATGGATGAAACTCATTGGGTGAAACATCAGATTAAGCTTAAATTAATTAAATAATAAGAACAAGTTAATTAAATAATGAAAAATTGAACCTAAGTCAGGTTGGAACTAAAGATTTTTATAATGTTTTAATAATCTTAATAGAAACATCAATAAAGATCAATATGTAAAATCTAATATATATTTTTAAGTTATTTGTATGTTTATATATTTTTATATGTCCAATTTTTTTATACAAAACGATTAACTTCTTTATTGATTTTGAATTTTTGTTAGATTTATAGATATTAACTTTTTTACACCTAATTAATTTAATTATTTAATTAAGTTCGGCCTTTATATACATAGGATGCATTCTGAAATGTACTGACAGCACTAAATATACACAGGATATATGTATAATGTAATCTATATATTTTTAGTATTATCAGAAGACACCGGCTGAAGTATCTCGCGCTAAGATCAGTATATTTCGGAATGCAGCCATAATTTAAAAAACGAAAAGTAATAGATTCCCTATATAATGGAAAACGATAATAATAAAAACCCGGGCAACAGGTAATAGAAAATCATGCGCTAATTGAAAAAATTTTCTTAAACTTAAGATATTAACAAATTTTTGATGTTTTTCATCGCTGAAAATAATTAGAAGAAAAAAATAATTAACCGAAACATATAGTTTTTCGATTTAGTAAAGAATATAAAATTTGAACATTATAAATTTTGTTAATTTAAAAAAAACATACACCAAGTACATAAAAAGGTATCGAATACTACATTTTTCTCAATAAAAAAGGAATACGAAGTTGGCCAATTGCATTTATTTTGAATCCGTTTTTAATTAAGAAGAATGTAATATTCGATACCATTTTATACACTTTGCATATATTTTTTCTTTTTTTAAAAAGATTTTTTTAGATTTTTCACTTTTTTAAATTTTTGAAAATATAATATAAAATTTAAATCTAAAAATAAATACAGATTATCCCAAAAATTATTTTGTAAATTTATATTTATTTAATATTGAGTCAATACATTGTATTGATTTAATTCATTTATTTTCTCTCTATCTCTATCTTCCACTCCCCCTCTTTCATTCTTTCTGTCTTTGAAATGGTCTTCCTTTAAACAATCGTAATTCCGCCTCTCTTAATATCTTTAAAGTTAAATTATATAAACATTAATTAATTTAATGTAATGCCTAATATGCTATGTAGGATCCTAAATGTATTATAAATGCTGTGATGTGACTTGAGGGATACTTAAGCGACAGTAGCTTGTACGCTTAGCGAGCACTTGCGTGCGCGTGCGCTCACACACATTTGCACATACTTAAACACTTGCGCTTATACGCTTCACACCGATTTTCATTTTTATGTAATATTTGCATTAGTAGATAGCTTTGCATAAATATAGCTCTAATTTAATATTCAGCTTTTTTATTTTATTTTAAATATGTATAGTTGTGAAAAAAAAGCATTGTGAAAGCCCTTTGAACCAACTGACTTTGCACGTGTGTGTGTACATGTGAGTGAAATTTGGAAAATAATGCAAATGATCTTTCTTGTGTAAGAGATCATAACATCTCAGGATTGAGTATATCGATTTTAATCGGACTCGTCTCAATTGAAAGCTCGTATTTCGATATAATGTAGATTAATTTTAATCATATTAGCGCACAATTTTCAGTGTCTATTCCTTCTTGCCTGGATTTTTATTATTATTGCAATTGGGGCTGCATTCAGTTTGAACGCTTTCAGCACTTCTATCCTTATTTTATGTCTCATGAACGATAGACAGAATGATGATTACAAGCACTTAAAGCTCGTGAGCGTCCAAACCAAACGTAGTTATATTGGACCAAACTATTCAAAGAGAAAAATAATATTTAAATGTAAAAATGTCTTTTTAAATGTAAAAAATAGGTATGAATCGTAAATGACAATTAATATCTTGCTTTTAACTTCAAAAACTTTTCTTTTTGTGCCAACCTATTGATGTTATAAATGCATGAAATTTGTATTATAAGAATATGTCTAATATATTTCAGATTTCCGATGATTTTTTAAATTGTCCGTAGCAATTTTATTCTAATTTCTCTGGTTTACATATTCTTTAATTGAATATAGATTTGTAGAAGAAGCGTTTATTTCTATTCTAGGATTTCTAGGGTAAGACCTCTAAGGCTTGGTTTTTCATTTTCTGGTTAAGCTTAACCACATAATGAAAAATTAGACCTAAAGCCTAAGGACATTAAAATAAGTAAAGAAAAAAGAGTACAATGAAAAGAATATACAAAAATGAGAAAAAATGATGCAGTACGTGAAATTACTGTAAGAAAGCAAGACTGTACGTAAATACATGGAAATCTGTTAATTACAGTTTAGTACATTCTAGTGTTCCTAGAAGAATCTAGCTATTGTGTATATCCTTTTTGATTAGCATGTCCACACGGCGATACCAATCAAAGTGAAACTCTTCATTTACACCAAACACATTTCAAATACGCATATATGTTTCACGTCATTTTTCCTGTAGCCAGACCTTATCTTTTAGAAACGCTAAATACGTTCAGTTACTTCCGATAAAAATGTAAATTATGTACAGGGCCGGAGACTTTTGACTTTTCTGGGTTGTGTGGGATCATCTAAACGGGGAAGAGAGGGGGAAGGGATTTCAAAATAACACAAATATTCTATCTTTTGTTGTATGTGCGAAATATATTTCTATATATACACCCCCTGGTCAAATATTGTTTTTTTCAAATTACTCAAAATTTTTTTAAATTTGTCAAAAATTAACATATTTTTTTAAAATACTCCGAATTCTGGGTGTGGAATTCAACACCCACAACTCTGGATATGGAAAGCTTCATACTCTCCATAAGGAAGTCTCTGTCTATGGTCGTGTACCTTCAATATCTACAATTAATATTTATATGTTTGTATGCATGCTGATTATATCTATCGAACAATTGATTATATCTATAGAACAGTCAATAATGTGATACAAATAAATTCTTGTACATTAATATAAGTCTCATAAAAATATCTTTTCAATAATTATACATTTGTCGAGTATATACTGAAAGGTTTATATGTATTTATGAAAAAAATATTTCGATGTTACAACTAAATGTTTATGTAATTGCTACATTAATGAAAAAGTGAAATAAAAAGATGAGGAAATGCAGTACATAGTATTTACATCATTTAATTCTCAGCTTTCCTCTTTTTCAAGGAAGGTCGATCAAATATTTGCTTCATCCCTGCCGCTTGATTATTGTGAAATTTGAGATTTTGAGCTGTCTCCGATATCCAAGGTGAATCAAATTGCGTCGTGTCCTGATCCACCAAGTGAGTGTATTTGGTTCTTCCGCTGCGACCAAAGTTCTTCACCTGCATGACCTTTGGTAAAATCGTCTTGTCGAAATGATCCTCTAAAGTCGCACCAGAAAAGTCGCGCTTAAATATAGAGTCGTCCTTGTCCAAGTAGAACGCACCACGATGATAATATTTTTGCAGGAATTTGTACTTTCCTTTGGCCGCTTTATTAGTGATCATCTTAGGATTCAGTCGCGCCTCCTGCCTTCGTTCCTCCTCAGTCATATTACGAATACGCTCGATCTCTAGACGTTCCTTCTCAAGCTGCTCCCTCTCTTCACGATCTCGTTTGATCCTTTTAAGCTCGCGCAACTTCCAAGCTTCGTATTCTATTTCGTCATTCTCGTCATCAGTACAAACATCGTTCAGCTTACTTTCCTGCTCGGTGTTACCTTTATTGCTCATCTGCGTCTCTTTTCGCACCGTCTCTTCCACCATCCTCAGAGTTTGCCTCTTTCGTTCCTCGGCCGCTTTCTTGGCCTCGACTTCCGCTTGTTTCTGCCGCATCGCCTCTTTCTCTTTTTCCATCACCGTGATTCTATCCTTTTTGCGAACGAACACAGGTTTTAATCGTGGTCCAGTCTCCTCCTCGGAGTCTGTGTATTCTTCATATTCCGAGCTCTCTTCTGAGCTTTCTCCTGATCTGTCTTCCTCCTCTCCCTGTATTAATTCCTCCTCAGTTTCCTTCCTGGACAATACTCGCTGCTTTAGGGCCTCTCGTCGTTTCTCTATCTCCGAATCCGATAGTTCCTCGTCTTCGGATGAATCAGAACTCTCCAACTTGATCCTCTCTCGCGTTCTTTCTAACTCGATCTCAATAAGCTCGGGCTCGTGAATATGTCTGTGTCTCTCTGCACGTACCTCGGTTGGTACCTCCCTTTGTTGGCGCGTTAATCTTCGCAAACGCGGATCATCCTCATCCTTACCTCTTGTATGCGAGTGCAAAGTAATATCTGTGACAACGTCGTCGTCGTAACTCTTTTGTACACGCTTCTCGAGAAAATCTTCGTCCTCTGATTCTTCATCTGAACTTACTGCTGCATAATCTGGCCGCTTACCAGAAACGTAACGATGTACCTTCACCTTCTTCATAGACAACTCTCCTGCAAACACAAAACAGTTTTTTAGAAATTCTGATATGATACAGAAAATCTAATGACATAAATGTTATATATGAAAATAAAAATAAATCAAATTAAATATTCTTAAAATAAGATAAAAATAAAGACGTTTCTTATATAATAGGGCAAATATCTTCTCAGTATTTATTATAAATATATTGTTCTATATCTCCAAATGTTTCATCCTACATATGTTTATTAATCACTGTTACACAAATAATTGTAATCTAACTGTGAAACATGAATTTACGAATTTCTTAATAAATGTACAACTTTGTAATAGGCATTAAAATAAATAAAAATAAAACATGTATAAATCACGAAAGTATCAGGATTCAGGACTGATAAACAAAATTGCTAGTTATATATTATTTTGTAAATGCTTTTTTTCAATGTTGGAAATCAATAATAAATTACATTCTATCAATACTGTCTGTTTCTACCAACAAAGTAGTTGAATTGTAATCACGTTTCAATGAATTTTCATTTTTTCTTAGTTCTAAGAATTAAAAAAAAGACGAAGAGTAAATTGAATTAAAATTAAAATTAATCTATACTGGTAGAAACGGATATGCATCGTTTTCTTTAATCTTAAAATATTTGTAAAATTCGCTGAAATGGATGTTAAATAAATCTCATTTTGACAAACATAAGCTAACCTTTATCATTCTTCACGGGCACAGCACCCGCGGTACTTTGTATTCCCATGGGTGCGGGTGCTAAGGAATTGTTCGTCACAAAATAGTCCATCATCATTTTGATGCCGTATCGAGAAACGTGTTACCGGGGAATCAAAACTAAATACAATTTGAATGGGCTTTTACTTCACAATCATTCTCGAACTGACAACAGAAACACGAACGCTCTGAACTTTGCTGAACTCGGAGCAACTCGGAATACCCTGAGGCTGCCTGAAGTATGACAGTAGTGACCTGAGTCGGAAGATAGAGAGCGTGTTGTTATCCACGATCGATAAAATTAAAGATTTATGTTATCGACTTTGGTTATCGATTTTAGTTGATTTTCGATTAATCGTTTCTTCGTTCAAAAATTGTTAAAATAAACATTTCGGATTGATGCTAAAATATCGAGGTAATAAAATTATTCTTTTTAATTTGAACTTCTTGTACGGTTCATTTTTCATTCTTCTTTCTTCAAGTTGAAAAAAAGGGAAAGATGAATTATACAAAAATTAAAGAATAGCTGGTCTGATACGATTATATGCAAGACGCTTAATTTATTTTATTCTCACATTATTTCCACGACTTTTCTCCTCTTCTTTCTGCGTTGCATAAATAATAATTCTTTCTGTTCTCTTTCTCTTTGATATAATTTATATAGTAATATAATAATTTTCAGGATTGTCTTGAAATCGAATTAAGATTTTTCAAAGAAGTTAGAACACAGCAATTATATATCTAGTCGAATTTTATAAGCTCCCTGGAAGCTCAGTAATATGAATTTAATTCCCTAGGGAGTTTTATCGAATTTTATAAGCTGCCCGAGAGTTCAACAATTAATATGAACTATAGAAACTTAATCAGAGTTTTGTGCTGTGTGTGGGTTAAATTTGACAATAATATATTAGAAAGTAGTGTCATGAAGTAGTCTATATCGCATTTTGCAACCGTTTATATATAAAAGTGATCCATATGCAGCACATTTTATCAAAGAGATATTTTAGGGCATCCCCTAAGGATGTCTTCCGGACATGGCATTATTATAGAACTGCTTTGGAGTTCCTAATTTATAGCTGTGCTATGGAGTCACTATAATTATAACATTATATATGTATGTATGTACAATGGAAATGCGTTACAGTTTCGGTTCACCTAATTTAGAACGTAGCAGCGACGGCGTGACGTTGGCGCTAAATGTTGCCGATCATCGCCGTGAAGCGAGGCGATTAAGGCGAGACGCGACGAATGGCGCCTGGCAGCATGGGCCGCGTTCTCTTCCTTGATCCTCCCGATACTCAAGCTGCGTTCTATCGCGCTAACGAGGAGACAGACAAGCCGTCCAAGGTAAATCGATATCATTCCTAGAGAGGATCCAACTCGCTACATCCACCTCAGTGAGCCTGTCGGTCGACCGAGCCTCCAGCGATCGCACTCTTATTTCATAATATTATATATCTATATTACAAACGCAAAATCGCGTCAAGGCGATTATCGTGAATAATGAGCAAACACATGCCCTTCTTCTGGTGCATTAAATTAAAAATATAGCTACAACGAAAAAATTACGTTACAATGCTATAAAGAAACGACTGTGCACGAAAAGAAAAAAATAGAAAAATACAATATAATTGTGGCACGAGATATCGATGACAAAAGGCCAAACATAATTGTCGGTATAAAGATATACCTGTAATGACCGTCTCGATAATGATCCTAAGAACTATAAGTTATTTGTAACCGTTATTGCAATCAATAATGACCTATGGTATATTGAATCATTCCATATTAGGATCGTATTAGGACGTAGTTGTTAGTGCATAAAATATTTATTACTTACATAAATATTTACTCGTTTTACGTTGCGTAAATATCTAATTTGCAAAAAAGAAACAAACTTTTTTGTTCTAATTGTAAGTCTCATTTTGCTTTTTATTGTTTGTTGTCCATAATCGAGGTGGAATGAGTATAAATTACATATAATATTGTAACAGATTATATTTTTGATACACTATATGTATACATATATTAGAAAACGTGTACAAAAAAAATTAATTTTGTCTGTACGTATAAATTTAAGTTACAGTCACGAGTACTTGGTATGCACGATGGAGAAGGCCGTAGCAAACTCTTCATTTCAAAGTAAGATCGGAGACAATAACCATCAGATAGATGAAAGAGATTTAAATCCGACATCGCATTGTAATGAAGCTCCTGCTATGCAACAGCAGGCACAGTTTACGTGTTCTCTATACATTTCGCGTGCTGGCAGCTTTCAAGACCAAGGTCACAGAGTCCAAGGTGATAATGCAATAATTTGCTGCATTCTGAAGAAAACAGTGTTCTACCATTTAATTTATAATCGCATTTTTATATATATATACACACATATACTAATTCAATTTAAGTAGTAATACAAAACAATATAATATCTAATTATCGAAATTTAATATTCACCCTACAATGCCAGTTGAATAGCATAAAAATATTCAAATAAGTAAACATTAATATTTTCTATTAATCTCGCTTTAATTTTAAATTGATATTTTATCATTCATTCCTTGAGTAGATTGCGAACTGCTGCGAACTCATCTCGAAGAAGCTATTGCCGCTTCAGAACCGCTATCGACGTGGCGTGTCTCTGAGACTCCATGTGGTCTCATTGCTGCTTTCGTACGAGAAAATGACGCCGAGAAACTCTTGCAACGCAGCGACTTAGCTCGAGTGTTTGGAGGACCAGTACAAGTACGAAGTTTATTTACACATTTTACACCGACTCTACTCGATGCGTTTTACACAACATTATATATAAGCTTTCTACAATAAGCCATTACCTAAGTTTTAAATCTTAAGCCGTAAGAAATTGACTAATCATAGTCGATTATTCTTCTTATATTCAACTGTAACTGATCAATTTCTTATATACAGATTAAGACTTAAAACTTAAATAAAAGACTTATTGTAAAATGTGTGTTAGAGATATAAAAAAATTGAGATATCATAAAAACTTCTAGTGTATTTTATTGTTTCTTTGTGTTTTTTATTGAGATATTCCAAATATTTTATTATTTTGAAACTATATTTGTTACGCCAATTGTTACGTTAAAACGTAAATTCTTGAACTAAATAATACTTCTACTGAAATACTTTTAAATAAAATCTAAAAGCTAATTAAATATCTTTTGATTGATATATTTTACTAATTTACTTTCATCAGGTAGCACGATTTTCGGCAAGAGATTCTCGATATCACCAAGCCGTGCTTCTGAGAGACGTGCCATGGGCTATACCGCTGCAGGATGTAAATTCAGCTTTGGCTAGGCAAGGAATTATCGCAGGAAATGTCGAACGTTCTCGACAATTCGTTCGAGTAGAGGTATGGAGAATGCTTATTTTCTATTTTAAAATTAATCTACTGTGATAACACCTTATCATTTCTATTATGTGGGCAAAGAAATAATAATTTAAAACAATAGGAATGTTTTTTGTCGAACATCAAGGCTAAAATTAAAATGTACATGTCAGTTAAGATGCGCATATCGTATCATTATTTAAATTCATATAAAAGTATAATACTATGCAATTCTAAACCAGTTCTAAAGAAGTTCTATAGAACATCTACGATATACAACTGGTTTTGTAAGTCAACTTTCGAAAAACCTTATTAGCAGTCGACAGTATTTGCAATAAAAAGATGAATGTTTCCTGATGAAAATAAAAATCGATAATTGAAATGTAAAAAAAAGGAAAGAGCGACAGAAGTGTAAACGCCTCTTTTATATTATCTCAATTTTCCTAATAGAAGCTTTTTATTTACGCTTCTGTCACTTTTCCCTTACATTCAACTTACACTTTAATTTTTATTTTCGCCAAGATTAAGATAAAGATCGAAACAAAGTCGGCCATATATAACCGTTGATATAAGTATGATGATGAACAAAAAATGTACAAATATAACATATTATATGTAATACATAAATATATTATAACTTTAATAAAAAGTGAAAAATATTTATTGATCTTTTGTCTCCCAGGTTTTTGATGCGGGTCATTACGAAGCCTTATTACGTCAAGGTCTAGACTTTTTCGAAGTGGCTCGTTTCAATGCTGTTCCAGAACGCTGGTGGCGAGGCGGCGGTATACCCTCACGATACGCGAACGATGGAAATAATATTCCACAAGCGTATCAAGAAAATATATCGCAAACGGCGGACAGCGTATTGCAATGCTACCGATGTCAGGGTTTCTGGCATGTGGCCGCTAATTGCCGACATTTGCCACGCTGCGTTCGCTGCGGCGAACCACACAGCGTTGAATTTTGCCCGAGGCCGCGGAATAACCCTATATGTTGCCATTGCTCCGGGCCCCACCACGCCGGTAAATCCTTTTTTTTCTAGAGGATCATCTCTCCTCTTGCTCATCTCTTATCAATTTCTCGCTAATATCCATTATATATATGATGAAAAGATAACGAACAAAGCAATATTTTTCATGTGTATAATTTAATTGTATTAAAAATGTATACCTCTTGCTATGCATTTAAATATATTTCTTGTACTTGGTACAATCGCATATGTCTAGCAATTCACGAGTAATCGCTTTGTCCTTTAGCTGTTATTGATAAATATAATATATGTTAATCGAATGATTATACAAATTAAGTATATACAACAGCTGGAAAGCGAAAGATACTAGCTCGGAAAAGTCGATTTCTCATCATTTAAAAAATGTGTGAAATGTGAAAGTCGACCACGATTCATTCCGGAAATTGAATTGCGACATAAAAGGAATTACATTTTATACAAATCACCTCGCATCATGATAACAATATATCATGATAACAAATATTCCTTTCTGTTTATTTTCTGTTTATTATAATTAATGAATTATATGAATGAATTATATAAATGCAGTATTGAGTAATTTGAGATAAGAAATATAAAAAAAAACTTCCTTATCGCGCGTAACATAAAAACAAGAAACATAAAAAAAAGAAGGTTCTTGTCGTAACATGTAAAACTCAATTAGAATTCACTCCAAGAACCGAATCAGAATCTGTACCTACTTGTATAAATTACTTGATTTTGCAAACTATCTTGTACTTGAGCTATGATAACATATCATTTCTATTTTCATTCTATAATCTATCACCAAAGTCTACGTGTATTATTGAAATTACCGATGCGTTACATTCATATACGGCACGACTATAATGTTTTTTCATTTTTTATTACAGGATATAGACAGTGTCCAGTCAGATTGCAGCTGTCTAATGCGACTCCCGTAAGCATTACGTTGAGCACGAGTGGGGTTCAATATCCAGCGAGTGCTACGAATAAATCGAATCCCTCGTGCCACTCTCTAAGACAAGGCCACTGTTAAACAACATCGTTTATAGAGTAAAATTATAGAGAAACATCGGTCTTATTAGCATCCTTTTCGAAATGTCAATGAAAGCGCGTAACATCTCTACATTGCATAACGATTCCATTATGAGTCACGAGTGAAATTTAGAGATTTGCAATGCCTTTCTATAAAATGTGGGAATACGTTATTCGCATCGTCATTGCGTACAATAAAAATGCTTCTATAGAGATGCTATCTCGACCGCAAAAAATTTGCAAACAGCATATATTTACGTAACATATAAGCAAGATACATTTTTTATGATTTTCATTTTTAAGACGCTGTCGCTTTTTCAGACACTATTGTGTCTTGTTCGTGTCATTTTTTTAGACTTTTATGCAAAATATATTGTTTTTATAAATGTCAAATGTCTTTTAACGAATTGTTTGTTTATGATGTGGGGTAATCCGATAAAATGCCACTTTGCTTTTTTTTTTCCAAGTTAGGATTTTGTAAACTTGCAGTTATTACCCGTATTCCGCCGTTTCGTCCCACTTTCTTTGCCCTAGTCCTGCGAATGTAGGTCTCCCCACTAGTGTCTGTCACTGCTACCACCAGGTAATACCTCGAGATCGTGGGAGGGAGTTGTACGCGGATGTCATACTAGCGCTAACATATTCAGTCGTTCGATCGGCTACTAGTTCGGTTTGTCCACCTAATAGATAGTGTTTTGTAATTATGGACACATCGTTCGCGCGCGGGAAATCCTACCAATCAATCAGTTCTAGCCATCGGTCAAATTAAGGGTGTCAATTCCATTTTTTAATGGACAATTTTTGCGTGGAAAAAGTATTTTCGCAAAATTTTCTACTGTTTTTCTTCCATAAAAATCCATACATATATCATGTATCAAATAACATTTCAAGTAACACGACGGGGTAAGTTTGATTTCATTTGAAGTAAACGTTTTAAAGGGACCGGTTCATTATGTGTGAGTGTATTTCTTTTTATTTTAGAATCTTCTTCAAAAGATCATTATATGTTTCTGCAGATGGCTAGATAATGTTCGTGTTTGTACGAGGACTTCAAATAAAGAACTTTGTGCATCGTAAAGACAATTCTAAAACATGTGATATGAAGAATTTAAGAAACTATAAAACCGCGTATTGTGCGGCAATTACAAAGGTGTTGGATTGCACGAGTTCATTTATACACACATGGCACACCACATTATTTTCAAAAAATATAACAAATGGAACGAAGATATGTGGAGATCTACAATAAATTGACTTCTCTCATTAATTATTGATTGATGGCATAAATCACTTGCGGTGTGCAACCACTCTCTAGATGCAAATATATTTTGTAATTGTTTTGATATATTATAGTTTACATGATATATTATAGTTACAAAAATTTTATGTTGTATTTATGTTGTACGGACTCTGCGTTATACTTGACTAACAGCATAACAAAACAAAAGGAGGATCGATAGTTTGAAGGAAAAAATGTATTCGATGTGCTTAACGGCTTTCCTCGTCGTGTCGATATGCAGCTTGACCACTCAGCAGCCAACGTTCTTCTTCAAAAATACATTCAAAGGGTTAAACGGCCTCACACCAAGCGCTGTTGCACTCATGAAAGATGAGATGCGAGTCGTTTATTATCACGAACAGACAGTGGCGGTGGTCGATCTTGGACCGAGAAATGAACTACATGATTGTAATATAATCGAAGTATAGTAAGTGCGATCATTATTACAATAATACATACAAAAACTATCATATAATTAGACTAGAAATTGAAATCGATTCTCACTAGTTATGTACATATACAGGATGTCTCAAAATTCGTGAATCAAAATACCACACATAGCGAGAAAATTTTTGAAAAATTAAATAAAAAAGTTATATGTACATTTTTATTTGAAACAGTAGTTTTTGAGGTATAAAATATAATCAATTATAGATTATGTTTAAACGGTCATCTGTCCATGAATCACATGTGCAGTAATATTAGTAAGTGTGCATTTTAGCGTTTAAACATAGTCCATCTAAATCTAGAATTCGTAATTGATCATACTTAAATATAAGCCTTATTATTTCATAAATTATTGCTTAAAATAAAAATTTACGGATAACATTTTTATTTAATTTTTAGAAAACTTTCTTACTGTATTTTAATTCTGTCGTATTTTAATTCGCGAATTTCAGGACACCCTATATATAATCATTTCTTTCATATCAATCCTTTTTCTGTGTAATGTTTGACATGCATCATTGATTCTTGCAGCGAGCCGTTCGAGGCTACAGAAGTTTTACGAAACTTATCTATGACTTTACATCCACAAGTAGTGTCATTCCAAGAGATAACGAGACTCATGCAACAATGCGAATTGTTGGACAAATTACAAGTGGAGGCCACGTCCACTTTGCCTACAAATACATTGAGTAGAGGAACTCGCATAGCCGCAAGTTCCATAACTCTGTTCTCCGGCATTCTGCCAGGTTAATTGTTCATTATAATTTCAAATGCGCCCGCAGAATTGTAAAATTTGTTAACAAAGAAACACTAAATATATACATATTCCAGGCACAAAATGGTGCGGCACAGGCGACATAGCCGAAAATTATCATGATTTGGGCGATTTACCTCATATTGACAGGTCGAAATTTAGAGTTATAATTTATAAATTTTTACAAATATCAGGGAAGTAAGACAAATCGTTTATGTTTTTCAGATGTTGTCGTAATCACGATCTCTGTCCAATAAAAGTACGAGCCCAACAGACCCGATACAATCTTACTAATTATTCAATATTCACTAAGTAAGATCTTATCAGAAATTGATAAAAAAATCAATTAATGTTTTGATAAAAAGTTTCAGTGTGTCTTTAAATTCATATTACATTATTATTCATTACTAAATTTTCTTATTATGCTAAAATTTGAAATTATCTTCACCTTAAAAATTATCTCTGTTAATTGTTTCAAAGTTTTTTCTATAAGGCAATCAGTCTTAAGTGTTTAACATTTTACAGATCACATTGTACTTGCGACCAAGCTCTTTATCAATGTTTAAAAGCTGCTAACCATCCAACGGCGAATTTCATGGGACAAATATACTTCAATATCGTTAAAGTGCCGTGTATAGAAGATATCGGAAGAAATCGATATCCATTAAGAAAATTTGTACCTGTAAAAAGGGAATATTAATTACAAGATACTAGCAGCATATATAGATAAAATGTGTTATATTTAAAAACTCGGTATATATATATGCTGCGTCCAATGATAAATAAAATTTATTTACAATTGTATATACAATTAAAAGGATATAAATATATTTTTATATTTGCATCATGTACTTTACAAGTTATTTTTATTACAAGCATAATGTACCTTTCTTTGAAATAAGATGTCATTTTAATTCGGATGTGCATTTACATTCATACAGAATTTTCAACTGAGGAAAAAGCCTGATTCAATGCTGATAAAAAAGGTATAAGATCTCTTATATTTTTACCAACACTGAATGATTTATGATTATACAAATTTCCTGCAACAATTAGAATATAATTATATTTAATTCTTATTCTCTATATCTTTCTTAAAAATATTGAAAAAAGATCGTTACCTATTAACCATATAGTTTCTTTTCTAATGTGCATATAAGGATGCGATAACAATTTATTCAATAAAATATACAAATCTTCATTTGAGTATTTCGGGTTCCTCAAAAGAATATCTATTTCATCTTTACAGGAATTATGCAATACGTTAGCCAGAATACGTATAGATGCTGTAATCTAAAACAGAGTTAAAAATATGATTCTTAATATTAGAAAACTTCATATTTTGTTATATGAAGGAGAAAAAGCAAACCTCGCTGGCTTGAGCGATTCCATCTGAATTGGAAAATGTAAAGTAAAGATAGTCAACGATTTGTGGCAAAATAGTGTATAAATATCCAGTACATATCTGTGAAGAGGACAATAAAGCTAATAACCAAATATAATTAGGATTTTTGTACAAGAGATTCCGTTTTAAGGTAACTTCAATCAGAAGTGACATTTCACTTTCTCTGTAAGTATCAGAAAGATATATTAAATTTTCTCTTGCAATTTTACATCTTTATATTACAATATGTAAAAGTGAATAATGCTTACGATATCTTGTGAAATCCCACATGTATGTAATGTAAAAGCGCATATATTACAGAAGGAAAAACAGAGTCATCACAATTATATAACAGTATAATTATATATTTTAGGCAATGCTGAGCATGCAAGATAGAGAAAGCCTTCTTGCTTCCCGCAACTAAATTACCAACTGTCCAAATGCAAACATCCTAATAAAATATGGATTCATGTACTTCAAATTTACTTTATTTCATTATCTTTTATTTAATTTTATTTCTCTTAATACTGAAGAAACTTACCAGCAATGCATAATTTAAATTTTCTAATTTGATAATCAGATACGGAGTAACTGCTTTTCCCAATGCTGTGCATGCTTTTGTGTTTCCTAGAGCAATATTACAACAGCAATTGGCTGCATATAATTGAAGAACTGGATCATTACAACATAGGTCACGCACAAGGCACAATAAGCTTTGGTATACTTTTAAAAAAGCATTTATATTCTCCTCTGACTGAAACGAATATATAAAAGATTACATATTATATTATTTATTACTTGCATCTTCATAAATATCAATCTTGAATAAAAAATTTTATAAGATATTTTATAACATTTTTACAAGACTAATAGAATATTGATGAATTTTTTAATCTAATTATTTTTTGAGTACTGATAAAGTAAGTCAAAACATTCATGCTTTTTGTACAGAATATAATAATAAATTGAATTATAATTCTTAGAACAACCTGTATTGCTCGTTATAGCCACTAGATATTGATTAATTTTTATAAGATGTTCTATAAGATATTTTATAAGATTAAAATATAATTCTATATGATATTTGATACAGATTATTTCAGTGAGAATACCTGAATAAGAGCATTGGACAAATGTCTGTAATCCGCGAGGGATAGTTTTTCCCTTTTGAGAAGCTTTACTTTCTTTTCGATATATTCGATGGAAAACGATTCAACCTCAGGACATTCTCCTAAATTAGTGCGACTTTTGTTCCAGGCGGACATACGATTCTCTCTCCTTTTTATCAAGATAGCCTCCCTCAATTCCGTTCGTATGGTTTCGATTCTCTCGCTGTCATTCGAACAAAGTTCCATGGCTTCGTCTCTCTCCTCGTTGACAGTCTGCATCTCAAACTGAATTTTATCAACCCTTTGTTACAGGTAAACAATCGAATATACTTATAATAGCATCCGAATCTTTGAGTAAATAAAAAAAAAGTAAATTAACAACTCTCCTCTCTGGAATAAACAATTCAAATATAACCTCACTGGAACTGCTTTACCGGTAAAATACAGCGTCTTCGCGCCGCCGCATTAACAGAACTTACGTTACCAACGAAATGGCAGTACGTCAAGGTTCCAAGAAAATGGACGTATAGATGGCGCGAGCGATGGAAAGGTTAGGTTTAGTGGAAAACAAGCGTTTAATCGAGAAGCCTTTGTCAACGTTAATAGTGTCGCAAGAATCAAGTATCCAGGTTTAAGTAAAGAAATTAAGAAGTGTGTCGCAAAATATCTTTTGCAAATAAAATGGAGGAGGTTTCGAAGTTAGAACACCTATCTCTGGTGTCAAAAATCTGCACGGAATTGGAGAATCATTTGGGATTGAACGACAAGGACTTGGCCGAATTCATTATACATCTGGCTGAAAATAACAAGACGTTCCCAGCATTCAAGAAGGTATTGACTGAGAATGGAGCCGAGTTCTCGGACTCCTTCATAGCGAATCTCCTCAGAATAATACAGCATATGAAACCCGTGAAAGCGTCTACCGAGAAGTCGTCTAAGTCTATGAGTAAGCGGGACGAATTGGCGATAAAATTCCCGGCGCTAGCATTACCGAACGACGATCCACGTTCCGAGACCAACGACGCCAAGGACGAAGATATCGTCAATGACGTTATGGCCTCCCTAGAAGCGTTCGCGCCGTCTAACAAGAAACAGTCTGCCAATATCGAGAAAAGTAACGGTAAGATTGACAACGGCGAGAAAAAGAGCAAGCGGGAAAGGAAAAGTAGAAGCAGGTCAAGGGACAGAAGGCGTCATAGATCCAGATCGTCGAATCGAAAAGAGAGGCGGCACAGATCCAGGACGCGTTCCAGATCGCGGACACGTTACAGATCACGCGACAAAGCACGCAGGAGACGCTCCGGATCCCGGGAACGCAGGAGATCGCCGTCACGCGATCGTAAAGACGCAAGACA